GGCCTAGTCTCTATTGTCATATGACCAACATCTGCCTATGACATTATGAACCAATATAATTTAATAGGAAACATTACTTTCGGAACAACCATCATATTAATCATAAAGAACACATATAGAGCACCTAGTTAGGATCGTACTCACTATAAGTATAGTTTTCTATTTGATATTGTATAACTGTCCGCTACTATTTTTTAATAAACATAACAGATAAAAACTCCAAGAAACGTTTTCAAAAAGTTTGATCGTAATTTATACTTCTTATCAATAGTGAATTTCATACGTGCAAAATTTACATTAGAAGTAAAAATCTACCGAATAGATTATAAACAATAATCATCAAAATACATCAGCGAATCATCCTGAAATTTAAAGAAAATCAAAGGACAAATCAAATCAAATCAAATCAAATGAACATCAAAGGAGCTTAAAGTTAACAATACATTCAATACGCTTGTAGGCCCCCGCAAACCTCTTGATAATAATTTTGATCTGGAAAATGTTTTAATAAAAGATGAATATAATTTACTCATAGGAATATGCATTGAAAATGCCAAAGTCTACTAATCCCTTCGATTAATATTCATTATTAATAGCTGTTTGCTGTTTGCAAACTAACTTGGCTTATATCCAGCCATTTATCATGATACATTAACACTAACCTTCCTGTTATTTATTGATGACCAAGGAATTACGTTATCCCATCACCATTGTTTAGGCTTTCCTCTACTTCTTTTTCCAGGCAACATACCCTCAATCCATAATATCGTCAAATATATGATCTAAAAATTCTAAGTTTGTAATATATATATATATATATATATATATATATAAAGATATGTTTAGTGGTACAAAATTTTATCACTGCCATAAACAGGCAAAAATTAGTTTTTAGTGTGTGTTGTTTTCTCTGCCAAGTACGTCCTTTCGTCTATGCATAAGGATGTTCTCCCTCCACATCATAATAGTTCGTTAATTTATTCCTTTAAATGTAGTTGCAGTTCGCACTACATAGGGAGAACGAATGAAAGGCTGGATGTTAGAATAAAACAACACGTTCCAGCGAAAATCCGAAACCTTAAGTAAACTCCCTCGGACATTTTGACAAATACATACGGGTCTTCCATCGCAGAACACCTTATAAATAGCCATAATTGTGCTGTTAGTTTTAGTATGGACGCTTTTACCATCCTTAGCAGGTCCCACTCTAATTACCACCTAAAAGTGTTGGAGGCCATCTATATTCTATCATTAAAGCCTTCTCTATGTAAACAGAAGGACTTTGTATTAGGCCTCCAACTAATTATCATTTAAATAATTTTTTTCTCTCCCTCCAATACATTTTGTCCATTGTTCTTTTTTATATAATTTACTTTATTTAACTCGATTTAGCTCTGTTGAGCGATGTACGAAACCGGTTAGCTAACCTCATAACTATCTGCTTCGGGTAGATGAAGTGCGACAATGCTGGAAGATAGTCCATCTAGGGGAAAGAAAACCTTGATTTTAAACCTTCGCGGCCCTGCGATCATATCCAAACACGGAAAAGGCTATGGAAGTAAATCCAGACAGAAAAACCCGGAGTGGAAGCCTGAAGGTTGTTGGCTCTCAACACTGACAACTTTCCGGCAACTCTTGCAGCCGGCCCCAAACTTAATGCCAGTACTGCCGAGAGCGCTGGTATGTAGCATGTGCAACAGACGTTCTCCATATGCCATATCTCAGTCATGGGCCCAGGACAGGTCATTCCAATCTCACCACCAAATGAGTGAATTTACCAAACAAATCGATACTTTTAACTCAGGAGATAAACGGATGCCTATTACTGTAAATTTCACGCTTTCATATGCTTAACGTGAAACAGGTTTTGTTTCGCTACTGTAGTTTTTGTTGAAATAAAATCATGATTATTCTGAATACGACACATGCCAAAATAGAAGTTTTTGAAATTGCCATATGTTTAGTCAGTCAGTTATGTGCCATGCGTGATATATTTTTCGATACATGACTGACAAGGCAGACTTTTTCCTGCAGCAGGTTGCCTTTTCTTTCTGCGGTTGACCAGTTAGAACCCGGTTTGTCCGGCTATATACACATAGCATTAGAAGAAGAGGATTTATACCTTTTCCAAGAGTATTAGCACGTGAGTGAATGCAATGGATTCGACTGGAATTCGAACACGGATTTCCGATTCCTCAATCCGAGCCGCTATCCATTACTCCGCACTGCCTCCACCGAAGTAGAAATGTAATTGGTTTGAATATTTTTGTTCGTATGTTTTTAGAAATTACTTTTTCCGTTTATTTGGTTGAGTAAATATTTCTGAATTTCCTTAAGAAGACACTGTTGGATTTTCGCTTCGTTATTGTCAAAGGTGACAGAATATTGAAATTGAATCAGTCTCATATAACACGCGAAAAATAGTTTTGGGGAGAAATCAATTAAATTCGTTTATTTATTCATTGGTTTGTGTGGAAATGAAGAAGGAATACTGCAAATACGCGTGCTTCTCAACGGCTTATGCATTGGGAACACTTTTAAAAACAAATATAAACCACTTAAAATGTGCACCGACTGATTTTGGTTTTAACGTTTCTTTTCATGACGTCTCTATGGCAGTGAGTGCTGGTCAGTTTTGGTCAGTTACAGATGAAGAAGAAATTCAAAGCAAGAGATGAGAGTCAATGAAAGAAAATAGCAACTAGAAACACACTCATAATCACATTTAGAAAGATACAGTTTTTGAGGATTGAGTTTTACAGATGGATGGACAGACGATAAACTACATCCAGCAGCAAGGCCTCTGAGAGGTTTTGAGGAGCGTGGAACCACCTCTTAATTGCTGGTGTTTCCAGGTCCACCCTGACCCAAGGTGGTAGCACCTATTAGGGTCCCATCTATGGGCAAATAGTTAACCTCCAAACTGAATTTAAAACACTATGAAAGTGTAAAAATAGGTTTTAATACCAGCAATACATTTTTGGAAAAAATTATTACCAGGCATACATTATTACTAGCAATACATAAAAAAGAAGAAATATTACAAGCAGAAAAAAAGGAATGTTACCAGCAATAAAAATCTTGTCGACATTAAATAACCCATTGAGGTTGATAAAGAGCCAAACGTTGCTTAGGGTCACAAAGAACAGGGTGTTGTGATGAGCCATGATTGTCTACGTCCTTAAAGAACAATGCGCATAAAAAATGAACGGTTGCGCTGTCTGCACATCCTGCCTACTTGCAGCGCTACCAGATCCAAAATTACAATCGAGCGCCTCGGTATGGTTAACGAGCTAGTCTGGTTGACCAATTACTACCGAACAATGAAGCTAGAATTAGTAATTGACAATGCAACATTGCAAACATTATAACTGTTTAATTTTCTCCTCTCGACAGAGTTTGTTGTATCGCTGTGTCTATAATGGGCCGCCCATACACGTACATATAGGCCAAGGACAAAAACTGATTGACCACACCCGGCGTTTAATGTCACGTTGACGTTGGTATCCATCAACCCTCACTCTTTAATGCAATGAAGGACGCGCTGCCGAAGTTGTAATCCCTGGCACTAGGCATTCCTCATAGTTTGTTGTGCTTGTTTATTTAGCGGTATTGGTCATTTAATGACGAAATTTAATTTTCTTGCGAGCATTAGTAATTTTCTTTACAAAATTTATTGCTGGTAATTTTTTTCAAATATTTATTACTGGTATTTTCACTATGAAAATGTATTTTTATAATTTCATAGTGTTTGTTCACAGCTGGGACCCTAACAGGTGCTACCACCCCGTGTCAGCGTAGACCTGGGAAAACAGCAATTGTTTCCAGGCTCTTCAAAACCTCTAATCTCCAGATCAGAAGCCTTGCTGTCGGATGTCGTTTATCATCATACCCAAGACGAATTCCTCAAAGTTTTAAGAGGAGGCGAGAAAGGATACTTCACTTTGATCCCAGTTCGAAGGACAGGTAAAGGAGCGCTGATATTTCACTGATCCTAGGCAGAGGACTCGAGAGAAACAGTTTTATCCGAGAAAGAGCACATAGATACACTGATCTGAGGTAAATGTACTGATCTAGATGTTGATAATTTTTGACGGGTATTATGCTAATAGCAATAATAATAATAATCTTTCGTACTAAATGCACATTAAGGAGTATTTCTTGTTTAGAAATGGATTCTTATTTTATAGTTATGTCTTTTATACTAATCTGACTTTACGATTCTTTTGAGTGGATATTGTGTAATCTGCGACGCCAGGATGGGAAGCTGCTTTGCACGCAAGTGAAATCCATCAAGTTCTGCGGTGCTACTTGGGTCGTAATAATGGTAAGAATGTATTCATTTCATCGTGTTTTGTGCGTTGAGGTAACAATATAGGCTGCTCTGGTTTTTGTCTCGTCGTCAGTTCCTCTGATGAAAAACTGTATGCAGACGTAAAACTTTATGCATACAGACACGTGGATAGGCACATATATACGAGGTGGCGCTGAAAAGTTCTTGGCACAACCAAGAAGAGACTAAAAAAAAAAAGAAAAGAAGAGAAAGAACAGTCTGATGTTTCGTCAGATTTTGGGAAATTGGTTTGGTAGCGAACTTTTCAGCACATCATTGTATACATTTCTCCCCTCCCATACATAATAGTGCTCTGCATGCACTAACCAAGGAGGAAATATGACCCCAAGTCTATTTAATCTTCTCCTGCCCTTTGCATATACAAGCACAGATATTAAGAGATGGGCATTGGTCATTTAAGTATACCATATCACATAACAAACGAATCTACTAATAAGAATCACTAAGCCTTCTTTCCCTCCCGAGGCAAGTGTACTGATGATGAGAGAAGGATGATGCTGATGACATAGGTATTCAGTTGGGATAATAAACTATGATCTAGAATTAGGATGAAATCAGTGATGGCACATACACTGAATACATTATAAAAAGTCAGGATGTGAATTTACTATATACTAAACATTTCAAATACCTCGATGTATGAGGCTTACGACCATATCACTTTGAAACACTGGTTCCCGTACGATCATTGAAGTTACGCAACATCGAGTCTGGTCAGTACCTAGATAGATGACCGCTTGGCAATACACGGTGCCGTAGGCGTGGATGTGTGAGTGGTATAATGTATAATGGCTCGGAAATGTTAATCGGAGAGCCGAGTTCCAATTCCAGTTGGGATCGTTATATTCACTTACGCGCAAATACCCTTGGAAAAGGTATGAATCAACATCTTCTCCCCAGTTATGAGTTAATTAGTAAGACTTTGATCAGTAAAACCATTATTATCTCCAAAATAAAAAATAAAATTGCACACAAAATATTTACATTTCGACATGAAATAACACAAAGAGATTGATATGCGCTAGACAAAACAACCATCGATGTATAGCTGAATTATAACAAATTTAGTATAGGCGTTAAAAAATTGAACATAGAATAGGCTGTGCTAGTCGTAGTTTCGCCCAATACCACAAATTGCTACTAAACCAAAAATATTAACCTAAAAACTAGAGACATGTTCTTAAATGGCCTCGTCAGACCAAGACTTTCATATAGACAACATGCATGGCACCAAACCTGTTCAGAAATATTTAAACTGTCAACTGTATACAACCGCTTTCTCGGGTCAATGGTTAAAATTGGATTTGAACGAATGAAGCGAGGACCTCTTCGAACCTTGTGAACTGACGCTACGGAATCACAAAGAAATGTACCAAATAACACAAACCTCATCCCTTGAAGACTTTTAACAACAGCCACAAGATAAAATGGTCAGCACATGTAACTCGAAGAGAAAATAATGACATAATCAAGATGGTGATATTCCACACTATTTCAAAACAAAAGGCAAGGAAGGAAATCCCCATCAATACTGAAAAGTGCAATAACAGCTACTGGATTTGAGAAACCTATTTTTCCTGGAAACAGTTTTTAAGAGAAAGATTTTATAAATTTCAGCCGACAATAGTACTGGATGCTCGGTGAATGAATTCTAAATGTTTCCTTATAAGGAAACGGTTAATATTACATTACCGTTATAATTACCATACGCATGTACAATCGGTTATGTGCACCGCCTCACTAATCCAAGAAGTGGTGGATGCTTTGTTGCATAAGCGTATATAACCACTTACACATACAAAGCCGTAAATATATTTCGCATATTCAGCTATCATATATGCGCACAAAATATTTTACGCTATTGCTTACCCAATACATGGCCCAAGAACCACTCAAGGTAGAGAGTCACTGAAGTCAATGCGATTGTTTTATCGATGTCAGAATTGTAGATTATAAAGGCAAATACCGATTGAGTCTAGATTTGTAGTGGTCGAAGAAGCATCATCTCGGATGGAAAAAGACTGTTCTAGGGCACATGGCACAGTGGATAAAAGCGTTGGTTAGAGCAAGTGACAGGACCCAAAGAGTTGTGAGTTCAATACCTGGTTAAGACGGTGGAGAACTTGGAGAGGTGATTTAACAGGAGATAACTGATAACTGACATCCATTGAACATGGCATGTAGAACAAGAACAGTCTATCCCAGCGATCGAAATAAAGGGTTCACTTCGACATTCCAACCACCTGAAGAAGCTGGAGCGTACAACGTACCGAAACGTTGTGATAAATATGGCAACAAAGATGAGGACAATAGTCCGAATAATGTAAATATTGTACATAATACTTCATCTCAGAAATATAGACAGATACTGCCGTTGAACACTTCTATATTCCTTTCTTTCTTTATTTATTTCATTTCCTCACTGAAACCAAGCAATGTCTTTTTCCTTCTTACCACGTGATCAAAACGGAATAGTGCATTATTTATGAGGTATTGGCAGGGCGTAATGGTTGTGCGAACAAACGAAGAGTGGGACAAACACAATTATAATAGGATTTTTACTTGGATTTAATTTGTATTATTAGTTAGTTAGAAAGACATGTTTTGTCTGTATGTGTACGTGTGCGTGTGCGTGCGTATGTGCGCGCGTGTGCTTATTGGCGGGTGTTTGATGTGTAACGTTTGGGCGGGAATTCGTGCGATATGAAGGAGTGCTAAAATGTTCTTAGCTCGACCCATTTCCCAAAACCTGACCAGATAACCAAACAGCGCATTCACTTGTCTTGAAACCATACACACACGTGTACAAAAAAGTGCATACGGATTATGCACGTATGTAAAAATACATTTCGCCCCAAGAATGAAACTAACCCGACTTTTCTCTCTTTTTCTTATTTTTCTCTTTTTTAATTTTTTTTATTTATTTTGCCAGTGCGCATGCGCGCATAGGTTGTAAAACTGATATAATCTATTATTATTACCGGTGGCGGAAATGCAACTTATAGAGTAAGGATGTAAGTTAGGGGGCATCAGATGCAGATAAGCTGTCACACACACACATACACACACTCACAGACGTACGCAGATTAGATTCATTTGCAGGTTTTCATGCGTGTAAGTGGATACATATATGAATACATATTTATCTAGTCATCTGCATTTAAAGACATCGGATGCATTAATATATGAATATCATGGACAATAACTTGAAACGATGTGTAGATATCAACATAGAAACTTTCATATGAACCATATTTATATTATCCTCTACGCATGATGCACAATATATACATGACACCCTCATACACACACACACACACACACACACACACACACACACACACACACACACACACACATATATATATATATATATATATATTGAGCATTCTTCTACAAAATATCCGTCCTGGGTATAACGATAAACTACATCCGAGTCCAGGGTAAGACGATAAAGTACGTCCAAAGGCAAGGCCTCTGATCAGGAGGTTTTGAGGAGCGTGGAACCACCTCTTAATTGCTAGTGTTCCCAGGTCCACCCTGACCCGGGGTGGTATCACCCATGGGCAAATAGTTAACCCCGAAACTGGGGAAAAACACTATGAAAGTGTAAAAACAGGTTTTAATACCAGAAATACTTTGTAAAAAAACTATTTCCAGCAATAAATTTTTGAAGAAAAAAAATATTATCAGCTATACATTTTCGAGGAAAAAATATTACCATCAATAAAAATTTTGTCGGCATTAAATAACCTATTGGGGTTGATATACCGTAAAAGGAAACAAACCAAACAATCTACAAAACATATGTCAGTTCCTAGGAACTGATCCGCTTGATCTTCATACGTCCAATATGAAGGCAGAGTTCACTATATATATATATATATATATATATATAGCTAACTCTTCCATTGCATTCGGCGTATGAGATTCAAGCGGATCAGTTCTTAGGAACCGACAGTCAAACACCTGCACATATGATTTGATTATAATGGTGAAGTTTTTGTGCAGAACCGAGACCACATTTTTTGAAGTGCCACAAAGGTCCCCAACCGACACTCCTCAGATTTTGTATTCAGAGTTGTTGTTCTCATAGACCAGTTGTCATCCAAGAACCCAATCTGTTCTGCTATTTACCATAATTGGGGGAGAAGAAGAGGATTCATATTTTCCCCAATAGAATGTAACGGATTCGACTGGAATTCGAACTCGGCTCTCCGATTCCTCAATCCGATCCACTGTACATTAGTCCACCGTGCCTCTTACTCTCTCTCTCTCTCTCTCTCTCTCTCTCTATCTATATATATATATATATATATATATATATATATATATATATATATATATATATATATATATACTTATACTACTTTAAACTTTATTTTTAGTGGATACTCATATTTGAGTAGACGCTGTGTTTAATTATTAAATTAAACAATATATTTATTTACTTTCATCAATCAACTTGAATATTCGAGAAATCTTATTAAAGACATAAATTTATCGAATATTTCAGGCCGGTAGACAAAAATAAATAAATATACTGTTTATAAATATGAGTATCCACTAGAATAACGTTTAAAATCGTAAAATTTATTGGATTAATATATATAGTGATTTTCTAATCCTGGCTTAGATGTGGCACAAGCCCGAAAATGTTGGGGCACCCAGTGAAGATCGAATTCATTACTCAGTCGTAATTGATCTAGCAAGACAATCTTTCTAACCATTACACCACGTCTTGGAGCTCCTGGATTAATATATATATATATATATATATATATACATATATATATATATATATATATGTTGTTTACAATATGCTATATTTTGTAGAAGACTGCTCAATATAGGAGATAGAATATATATATATATATATATATATATATATATATATATATATATATATATGTGTGTGTGTGTGTGTAGATATATAGTTAAAGGCATGTCTGGCTAAATGTTGGTTTTCGACAACGTTAATTCCTATGAAAGCATGGATCTAGTCATAACCCGAGTTTCACGCTCACGCGAACTTCAGGCGACTTAAACGCAAATGAAAGAAAGGTGGGAATCAACTTCATATAACCCATAACCATAAATCACATACCTTAAAGCATCACGGGAAAAAATATATATAGTATTTTAAAAACCCATGAATAACCACACCCTCACAGGGAAAAAAGAAAATAAGCAAAGAAAAAAATCCCTGTGGGTGGGCTTAACTACTAATGGCTCTACTATGTGTGTTGTAACAGTGTGCGCATAGAAATCAACACAAATAGCCTTATAACCGTTTATAGCATGAAAATGTCAATCACCATACAGTATTAATTTTCGTTCATATTGTTTATATCTGCAAACGCTATATATTCGATATTGAACACACTTATCCGATAATTATAACAGATTTTAGATGATACACGTAGATACGTAGACATATACATGCGTCTACTATAATAATAATTACATATCATTGCTTATTATTATTATTGCTTACGGCCATGTTACGTTGAAAAGTCGGTTCATATTTGATCGTTGCAGTTAAGCAACGTTGAGCCTGTTCAGTACTCAGAGGGGTGACCACTGGCGAATACCAGGTGCAGTAAGCTCCACAGCAGGCTTAGTAAGCCTAGCAATCTCGCTATTTATGCTAATAGAAGACATTGATATGTGGAGGTGCATCTGGGCTGACAGATCGCAAGACCTACCTGGAGTTGGGTGAGTAGAATAAGGTAAGGTATAGTATTATTTATTGATGAC